CCTGAGGGGAAGCGGGGGCCGCTTTTCCCGCGCTCGCTGAGGGGGGCACGGCCGCCCCTCGAAGGAAAGGGGAAGAGGAAGGAAAAGGGTGACCAGGCTGGGCGAGTCATGCCGGACTCGTCGGCGGGTGTTTGTGCTTTCTGGGGGGGTGGCGGCGGCGGGGCATCAGCAGGTTGAGCCCCGTGTGTTACTGAGGGAGTTCGCCGGTTCGGACCTGGCGGGGGAAGGCGGCCGCTGGGCGTGCGGGACCACCGCCTGCGGCGGGCGGCGGGGCGAAGGCACGGCTGAGCGGCTGTAAAACCCCGGCGCAGCATGAGAAAATACTTCTTTTTGAGGGAAATACTTCTTTTTTGAGACCTTTGGGCTTTAGGTGTAGGTTTCTGATGTGCTAGCCAGCGATCAGGCCATTTTAAAGTGTAAGAGCACTTCCCTGGGCGCTTAATCGCGGAGTGCTCGCTGTGTTACGCAGGTCCTGAGTAGGTTTGGCAGAACTTGGCACTAAAGGATTCTTCCACCCTAATGCGGCAGTTGTATATTTTTGCACGATTCTTCCCGCTTTTCTTGTAGTCACCAGAGTGTTGTGACGTATAATTTGTTTGGTTTTAAATTACACAAATAACATGGATATACTACTAATTTAGAAGCTGTATCTCCTCTATCACAAAAGCAGCTGCCATAATAAACTCCTCTTTAGTCTTGTGCTGCAGTGGTACTTACTCACTTGTATTAGTACCATGCTCGGAGCAGCTGAAAGAACAAATGGGGTTATTTAATCAGGAATAACGTTAGGCAGGTGAAGGGGAGGAAGGGGTGTGGGTGTAACTTGATACGAAAATGAGCAAACTCTCTTCTGTTTACTTCTAAGGCAGGGTTTGGAGGAGGCGAGCTCGGCAGGCTGGGTACGTTTGCCAATGGAGGCTCCTGGAACTGCAGGGACCTTTTCTGAAGAATCAGTACTTTTTGGTCACATGCTTTTTCCTCCCTTTCTTGTCCGTGACCTAGTGCGGTTCACTTTCTTATGTGGGAACACACTGTGTGCCCCTGAGGCTGTTTGGTGGTTGTATACTTGACTCACATAGAGTAACAGCAAATAAAGTATTCAATTTAACAGCTGTGAATATATAAGTATTTTTTTATAAGACAGGAAATCAACACAGTGTAGGAATGACACAAAAGTCAGTTTGTACTGAGACACACATGGAAAAAGCAAAGTTAAAACTGATTTAATTTAGCCATGTCTTTCATTTGTCCATTAAATAGATACTTATGGAGTTGCTTTATTCTCCCTGTGGTAGGGTAGATGAAAACATTGTCATCATACTGGTTTGGCATTGTTTAGAAAGGTTCTTTGTGTTTTTGAGTATTGAAAAAAAGCCATCATGCTGAAGGCATCAGCAAAGAGGTATCATGAAAGCGGCTGAGGTTTCGATTAGTTTTCATCACCTGACGTGTATGCCACGTTGACCTATGGTTAACCAGAAAGGTCAATTTCCATCCTTAGATATACTGAAAACTCAACTGAAGAGGTCACTGAGCAACCCAAGCTAACTTGCAGGACATCCCTGTGAAAGTCCCTCTTACCCCACATTGTTTGGTGTTGATCCTCAGGGCTTAGAGTTGAGAAAACTACTGTTGAGTAGTTGAGGTATAGTCTAGTTTGTAGGGACCCCTGTAGGCAACCACTGTTGGCGGTGTGTTTAGTGAGGGTCTTGTGTGTTCTGATGATCTGCTGGAGCTTCCAGGGCTTCCTCCAGATTAGAGAGAGAAAAAGTAATTTGTGCCAAAGCCAACAGTTGCAACATCCA